ACACATTTACCCTTTCTTTCTCTGTTTTTCATTGTTTTATAGTTTTATTACACATACCTTCACAACCATTAACTAAATAAGGATTTCCACGATAACCTCGGCTGCAATTACACCGATATCCATAACCATTACTCGGCTCGTAACACTCGGAATTCCCACTCTTGCAAGCAAAACTCGAACCGTTGGTCCGAGCCTCCTCGCAAGTCTCGTTCCCAACAGCCCAATCAATCGCCATCGGCAGCCTCTCCAAACGTCCCGTCTCCAAATTCGTTAAATCCTCGGGAGTATTCGAAAACGAGCCTTCCTCGGCCACGAACGCGTATCCGCAGTACGTGTCGTTCGGATCGAGGCTGAGGTAAGCAAAGCTCCCGAAAAGCAAATCGACTCTCCCTGCCATCACCGAATCCGAGACCGACACCTGGCAGAATCCTCCGGGGCTGCGATCAGACGCGTTGCGGGTTACGGTAGTGGTGCAGTTGGTCACGCACCCGGTCAACCGTCCTTGGTCGAGACCGAAGCTGGCGATGTAGCCTAACATGTAGCAGCCGACGAGGGAAAAATGGTTGACCGAAGTGTTGACGGTCAACTGCTCGGGAAGCACGATCCACGGGTCGTGAACCGATTGGTTTCGGCTGCGGTTGTAGCAGGCGTGCACGATGGGCTGCAGGGCGGTGAGCTGGCCGTCGAGGGATATTTTCGTAATTTCCATTGACGTGTTGCGGAGGAAGGGTCTCGGAGAGTTTTCGAGTGTTGTGTTGCATGTGACTGCGAAGTTTTCGGCTCGGTAGCAATCGGGTGTCGTCCCGAAAGGGTATGGGATGGGAATTTCGCCACATCGGTTCGGACACTCGGGCTTCGCCATTGGGAACGGTGTCGTTTTTGGTGTTGAGGTAATTAGTGTGAGAAGAGTTGTTAGAGAAAAGATTATGGAATGGATTTGGTAATGGAAATCTTGGAGTACCATTATCATATTTTAGTTAATTTNTGGGTGGTGGTTGTTTGAGTTGATGAGATCATGTATTATGTATAAGTAGTTGTTTGTGTGGTCAATGGATGTAAGAAGGGTTGACTTGGAATAAGGTTCAGTTGTGTAAGCAGTAAGCGCACGGCTTTATCGAGTAATTTCGGTTGAGTTTCAGGGGGGTGTATTCAATTAAGACTTTTAGTGACTTTTTAAGACTTTTTAAAGTAGATGACTTTTGTGGACTTTATGCAACTTTTAATGACTTTGATGGATTTTGTGGGATTGTTATGGAGACTTATTAAGACTTCCAATATGAACTTTTTGAGACTTTTTAAGACTTTTATATAATTTTTAATATAATAATATATTTGTATGAAATGCTCATAAAAATATTGTGTGCATAATAAATAATATCTATCAAGTCAAATTAGTAATTAAAAAAATTATAATATTAATTTAAAATATGTTATGATATTAAACACTATCCAGAGCAAGAACGAAATTAAGAGAAAAAAAAATATTATAACAAATGAAATCAATAAGAAAACAAGCATGAAAAACATTCAACAGTCAAACCAAAAGAACACAATAGTTATCTATTGACATTGTACGGGAATTAGAACAATAAAAAAGAGCAGAAATGAAATAAACTATCAAATATTTCCAACATCATTCCACATGTTCGTTGCCAAACTCAATCTCCACTCATTTGCAGCTTCTCTTTCATGTTCTTGACTCTCAAAATATGGTCCAAAATTTTGCGCTTCATCTTCTGTTGAAACTCCATCTTCAATATCAACTGGAAATTCGTCAGATCGACACTCTTTGCGCAGAAAATTATGTAATCCTGCGCAAGCTAAGACTAGCTCTGCTTGTGTACGATATGGAAAAGGAGGGGCTGCTTTGAAAATTGTGAAACGAGATTTAAATATGCCAAATATTCGCTCCACCACATTCCTCAAAGACGCGTGACGAAGGTTAAACAATTCCTTTGCATTTTCAGGATGACGCCCTTGACCAGAAAAATCTTGAAGGTGATATCTAGTACCTCGAAAAGGAGCCAAAAATTGACGTCGATTTGGAAATCCACAATCTACGAGAAACCATTTACCTGGATATAAAATAATTAATTGTTAACTCATAAGTCATATTAGGAAAAATGTATATACGTATGAAAGAAAATAAACTAATTTGTAATATGTTCTGTCACTAAAAATTTGTGCATATGTGAATGATTTTTTATTTTTTATTTTTATATCTTACCTTGAGGTACTTTGAGACCATTTTTCCTAGTTAAAGCATCACTGAGTATTTTGGAGTCATGTGCTGAACCTTCCCAACCACTGAGTACATAAATGAATTCTAGATCAAAGTTGCAAGCAGCCAAAACATTTTGTGAAATAATCCCGTGGCGATTTCTATGACTTGGGACATTTTTTTCAGTCACCATTGCCGGAATATGAGTTCCATCGATAGCTCCAATAGCATCCTGAATAACCAAAAGTTTAGTAGATAGTGATAAAAATAACAATGATAAAATCACTATCTAACAATAATACTAACACCAAATCTAATTAAAAAATAAATAAATAACTCTTACCTTGAAATAAGGATAAAACCTTGTGCTCTCTCTTATTTTTTCTGAGACTGTAGATCCTGGCTTGACCATCATATCAACGGCAAGCCTTTTTAATATTTTTAGAACCTTGTTGAAATTTCGGCTTGTTGTGAAATGAGACCGGTCATATATTTTACGAATCACACAATAACGACTGTTTTGACCAACGATGAGCAAGAACATTGCAAGCATTTCCTCGATACAGATGTACCTTGTATCTTGTAGTAATTTTTTTTCTCGTATGATGTAAGATAGTTTTAGAAACACTTGAGGATACATCCTATAAATTTCTCGAAAGTTTTCTGGGTCTTCTCTTAAAATTTTATTTATATAATCATGCCCATGACTTGTTACCGGTCGCCTTGCCAATGCGCGGTTTGCCCCATGAAGAGAGGAACTAGTTATATGCTCGTTCAACAAGCAAAGAATTGCTTGAAGTGCCAAGCACAAGAGTCTATTAGCTTCATGTAAAGTCTCTTCATAGTCATTTTCGTCATTCTCTTCCATGATGGTGTCATTGTCTCCATGCATCATGGTATCAGACATTATGTGAATACAAGTACCTAAAAAAGAAAGAGCGAAATAAAAAAAAAAAAATACATCATCATCAATGGTATGAAAGGCTTATCAAATAACAATAATATTAATATAAAAACATCATCGACATAATAAATAAATAAAAAACCATTCGATTGGTTAATATCCCAAACAAGGTTCAAATTCCATATGCATATATCCTTAAGAGAAAATAACAAATGCTATATCAAAAAATCAAAGTTAAAAACATCAACCACTTATTATCTCACATGGAGCTAGAATATATCATTTTAATTTATATGTAATCCATCTCAAACGCTCTTCCGGTGCCATATTCCAAAACTCTGCTTTCTTTGCTCTAGTATTAAGCAAATCAAGGACCTTGAAGCGTGATTCGTCATCTAAGTTTGGAATCTCCTTTATAATGCCCCAACAGTTATACTCTTTAGTGTCGACAGACTCAAGAGCACGGACAATCTTGTTAACACTTTCTGTGAGGTTGTCAGGGTCAGAAGCAGTGCTTTTGGGGTTTGCTTCAAAATTAGTTCTGTTTCGCTTTCGAACGGGTGGACGTTTTTCTGAACTCTTGTGTTGAGCGAATGGTGGGGAGTGCATCGGAGATAATGGCATATGGTCGAGAGGGCTATTAGTGTTAACGAACACCTCAGAATCTGGATCAAGCATCAGGTCGTCTATGGAATTAATATTTTCCATTCTTTCTTCTGTCTCAAAATTTGTTTCTTCAACATCATCGCCTATTGCAATTGAGCTTTTGCCAGTAGCAGTTCCACATCCAACAGCAATTCTCAGATCTTCATAATCAGAAAAAGTGTCTGTCTTGTAACTCTTATCCCCGGGATGAGACTAGTAAAAGATTTAAAAAAAAAGGTCATTAAGCACTATGGTATGAAATATTTTAATAATATCAAGTACTATCAATAAAATATGCTTACCCTAAAGTANAGCTATGCACAAAGGAAAAAAAAAAAGAAGCAAAACCAATTGGGTGAGTTTTATTATTTGCTAAAGCGTGTACCATTCGGCAATTCAGCTCCAATTTTTCAACAAAATTCCATGGTACTGCAAATGGGGAAAATAGTTGAGAGGCGGCTGAATTTCTTATAATTTTATTAACTTGGAAAATAATTATTGATAAAGCGTGTCTAGCCTCTCATCGGCAATTCAGCTCCAAATTTTCAACAAAATTCCGAGAATATTATACAATCAAAATCATACTGGTGTAGACGAGAATATTGCATGTAGACGAGAATATACAAATCACAAATTACAATATTATAAATCAAAATCATTTGCATGTACTAATAAAAAAATTCATACTGGTGTGAAGATTCTATAAACCCTAGAGAAAAAGTATGAGAGTACCTTGTAGTAGACGAGAGAAAGAAGAGACTTTTCACGTTCAACAAAATCCCACAATTTTGGTGAGATTTTCACAAGCATCGGTTTCTTTATATTTTGGTAAAAAGTCTCCAAAAATCCTTTTCCTTTTTAAAGTCTCATAAAATCTTACCAACTTGAATAACAGGTAACTTATTGAGATTCTTGAAAAGTTTTAATTGAATACATGTAAACTTTTAGAGAGTCTAAAAAAGTTTCAATTGAATACCTCAAAACTTTGGAAGTCTTAAAAAATCATTAAAAGTCTTAATTGAATACACCCCCCTCAATGTTCATATGGTTCATTTGAGTGCTTGATTTGTTCTGGTATTGTTTTTTGGCTTCATTCATCAGTTTTTCTACAGGACAGTGACAATTGTTTTTGGACCTGACCTTTCTGCATTTATTCGAGGAAATGCCATTTGACTAGACAGGCAAAGCTTGGATGTTCAATCACTCAAAAAAAAAAAATCAGTTGGATGGACGGTGTTGGCTTAGGCCTTAGGGTATGTGGTTTTGATAATGGTGAAGATTTAGCTTGAGAAGGGGGAAAATTTTATTTTATTTTATCTTGTCATATTTGTTCTTTCTGTTTAGTGTGTAGTTTTGTTTGTTCTTGTACTGTGTTTGTATTTGTTATGCTTCTTTTTTTTTCTTTTTTGGTACAAAGAAGGAGGCCAAAGACTTAAGCTAAAATTTGCCGGGGATATGACACCCCAACGCAATCGTGATCAAGCCAATCTCCCAGTCCCACAGGAGGTAAAGAGAGTCGCTGTAGGCCAATCGGATAGGATGCCGCCAAGCTCGCCATGTGATCCGCTGCGAAATTCGCTTCTCTATGAACATGTTGGAGGCAGACACACCATTCTCTTTGAATTAGTTCTTTAATGGCTCTAACCATGGCCTCATGATTTTCGCAAAAACCATCCGCTTTGGAGACCATGTTCTTGACACATTGACTATCAATCTCAACGATAACTCGTCGAAGCCCCCGATCCCACGCCAATAACAAGCCCTGAAAGAGTCCCCAAAGCTCGGCTCCCGTGATAGTACAGGATCCAATATTCATAAGAAAGCCCTCAACCCATCGTCCCGTCTCATCTCGAATCAAACCGCCTGCACTACTCAGGCCCGTGAGCTTGTTAAATGCGCCATCCGTGTTCACTTTGACCCAGCCCGCCGCCGGAGGGGTCCACCGAATCATACGAGTCACGTAGGCTGCAACCCCAACCTGCGTGAAAGCCGTGGCCGTTCGTGCGTAATTTTCTGTAAGTCGTAAAATCTCCATTTTTCTAGCCTCGCTACTAGCAAGCTTATTTTTAAAAATCCTCTCGTTTCGCCACGTCCACATGCGCCAAACAGTTACCGCGAACATGCTACACCAATTATTGACATGTCCCAGCCGGATTTTCAATAAATTTTGGCGAAACCAAGCTTTGAGAGGTTGTTGGAAGAAGTCACCTACGGTTACAGCAGCCGGTAACAAACGCTTCCAAACCTCCTTCGCCAATGAGCAATCTCGCAAAACGTGGATTACCGATTCCTCCTCACCGCAATGCTCACACGCAGTTGATGTCGAGATGTGGCGCCGAACACGTTCCAAGTTAGTAAGAAGACGATCATTATTTGTGTTTTCAGTCTCCCGTGTGATAGGAGTCCGATAGGTTTAATTTAATAATTTGTGTTTGTTATGCATTTTCAGGTCTAGGTCTAGGCTACCTTTTGGTAGATTTCATAGATTCAGCTCGGTTTGCTATTTGATGCAACCTTTTACGTTGGCTTTTTTGTATTAAATATATCCGCTCAAAAAACGAGTTTTATTAATAATGTTAATATTTAAAAAAGTGGTATATTGGTTGTTAGTGAAATTTTGATTTTATCTTAAAATAAAATAATTAAAGTTGAGTTGATATAAAAGTATGAGAGATAATATGAAGTAATGGTTAGTTAAAATTATGTGAGTGCATGAATAGTGAATTAAAGTTAATGTGATGTGTTAAGTGATTGGTTAATATTATTTAACTATATTGATAATATCGAGGATAGCGGTATTGATTTACAGTTGAGGTAGATTTTGAATATAAATTGAGTTTATTCATATACAAACACACCCTAATCATAATTTCAAAGTTTACTAGTATAAGTATATCGTATGACAAAAAAAAATGTTAGTGAAAGTATGATAGATGGGGCCATTTCTCAGTTCCGGGTTGATTTAATGAATCAATTGTTTTTAGCAACCCGTTTTAATTAAAAATAATAAAAATTTCAAAAAAAAAAGAGGTTGAATCGTCTGTTTCGGTTCCAATTTGTAATCAACCCGGCAGTTCAAAGATTATAAATATGTGGCTCGAAACCGGTTGGGTCAAATCATTGGCTCGATTCAAGGCTTGTTGGCCACGGGCTCGTTCCGAGCCGGTCCGTAACCATGTTTAAGTATGATGAATATGGAAGACTTGGTTAATAATAAACATAAATTTTTATATGAAGTTATCTAATGGTTAGACTAGTCGATCGTTTTATATTTTTTAACACAAACAAAAAGAAAATATATTTATATTGTGAAATGCTATATTTTGTATATGTTTATGTTATTTTTGAAAATATGATTATTTTGGGTTGCAAGTATCCACGTGTTTAATTAATACCGTAATATCACGGGAGCTGAAAAGTCAATAGCTCAACATATTAAAATGTCTTTTGGTATTTAAACTTTGAATTGACATTAAGGGCAAAAAGGAAAATAAAGCGTTTATTATTGTATTATATACCGTTATACGATACAAAATAAGTACGACTAGTCTCCCATTTATTATTTTATAATTTGTCCATTAAGTTTAGTATGCTATTTATAGCGTCGCATATTTGATATTTACATCATGAATGACAACTGTATAAGGTTATCTCCAGCTTTTATCTCTACTAGTGTATAATTTTATTATACGAGTAAAAAATCAAAATTCATCTTCAATAGTTCGTTTTATATTTTATTCTACACTAAATAATTTTTTGTTATTCTTTTTATTTTAAATTATTTTAACGGCACAATATAATTTCACTAGATATATTATTTCACATTTAACTATTTAAATTATCATTATATAATTAATAAATATAAATAATTTCAATAATAATAATAATAATAATTTGTAACGATTTTTGTGTTAGGAATTATATATACATATATATATATAAAATATAAGATAATTGAAAATATAAAATATATATGATTAATGATTTTTCTTTCTTTTTTTGCAAGCAAAATTTAAGAATTTCAAATACCTTCTTTTATTTTCCAAAAATGTTAAATTTAAATGTAACAAAAGAAAAAAAATCTAGTTACATTATGCGGTCCTGTCAGTAATCAAAAGTTAAAATGATTTTTATAATTTTGGAATGATTAGTATACTGATTATGAAAGGTTAAATAAATAAAAGTAACATTTTTTGGAGATAAAATGTTATAGTGCCACCTATGTAAAATTAAATAGGTTTTATTTATTGCTTAGCTAGCAATTATATAAATATAGATACAATCCAATGATTTATTTTTGTTAATTAAAATGAGTCGGGGGTTAGGTGATTTTGGAAAAAAAGGAATATATAAGGGAAAAATAATCAAGACGATTTTTGAACACCTAAATATGACACACATAACAACAATGTTTTGAAACCCAGACAGGCCTGGTGGGTCGATCGAGGTCGGACCGGTCTGGATGGTTGTTCGACCGGGTTTGACTGATCACTCTAAGGTCTGTGTTTTTTGTTTTTTAGAAAATAATTATTTATTTAAAAAAATATGCATTTATAAATTCATATGGTAAATATTTATTATTAACAATTTGATGTACAAAATTTATATACAAAATATTTAATTTTGTTATTTTTATGTATGTTATAAGATAAAAATGACTATATATAATTTAAAAAATTATTAAAATTAATTATCTAGTTGAGTAATTGACCGGTCAATTTCCGGCAGATGAGTTATTCAACGTGGATTCACAATTTAACAGTCGCATTCCCTTACCTAATGCCGAGTGAGGGGAGAGAAAAATCAGAAAAACATACAGACTAGACAGACCAAGACAAATTTGTACTGTACTTCTTCAGGTTTTTCCATTATGCAATTGAAACCCATCAGCACCCTAACAATAACGTTCATGTTCGGCTTTACCCTGATCATCGTCTTCCTCACAGGCTTTCTTGAATTCCCATCCGCCAAATTCTCATTCCCATCATCATCGTCCAAAGACTCGATTACCTCAACTCCAGAACCCTTCAAGGACCTGTTCGAAGCTTTCGAGAAGTGGGATTCGCAGGTGGGTTGTCCCAAATTCAGGCAGAAACACGCGGATTCGCCGGCCAACAGGTCAAAGATCGCGTCTTTACAGAATGCCGGCGGTGAGATCGAGTGCGGCGAGCTGCGGATGAACCATGCGAGTGTTTTGGTCAAAGGGTGGACTTGGATTCCTGATAATATGGATAATCTGTACAGCTGTAGATGTGGGCTGAGCTGCTTGTGGACTAAATCTCATGTTCTTGCTGATAAGCCTGATGCCTTGTTGTTTGAAACTACCTCTCCCCCCTTTCAGGTGATTATGCTTTTCCTTTTTTTTTTTGCATATTT